TGTGGTTGTTTTTTTGTGTTGTTGTGTGGTTGTTTTGTTGTGTTGTTGTGTTGTTGTGTGGTTGTTTTGTTGTGTTGTTGTGTTGTTGTGTTGTTGTGTTGTTGTGTTGTTGTGTTGTTGTGTGGTTGTGTGGTTGTTTTGTTGTGTTGTTGTGTGGTTGTGTTGTTGTGTTGTGTTGTTGTGTTGTTGTATTGTCAAAGCCAAAACAAATGTTGTTTCACACTTGTGTATCCAAGCTCAAACCCAGAGACGTTGAAAGAAAAAAAAAAACAAGAATGTAATCATTTTCAAATCTCGTAGAGCAATATTTAATTCACAATGGAACAAAGAAAGCATGCAGAAAAGAGAGATTTCACTATTTCATGACAAATATTGAATTTGTTGGCAGCAGAACTCCACAATATGGTCAGAGAAGTGAAAAGTGATAAAAATGAAACGGCTGAAGAAGCATGGTCAACACGATCGGGTTAATTGACAATAGATCAATATTTGACTGGGTACAGAGAAAGAGTTCGTTATAGAGGCAGAGTTTTAGAAAAAAAAACAGGTGTTCTGCCAGAAAAATAAACCAGGAACCAATTTTTGAGTCATGCTTCTCGTACTATACTGTAGAGAATCGTTATGAAAAGACAGTAATCAAAAACTGAAAGGTGAGTATGTAGGCAGTCTTTAGAAATACAGTATGTAGGAACACTTCTATCACTTATTGCCTGGAAACTGTCATTCACAATTTCTGGTTTATGTAAAAAGGAGCCAAATGAGAACGTGATATTTCCATGCTGCCATGTTCTTTTGGTCTGAACTCTTTAACTCGTTGGCTGCCAAAGACGTCTATAGAGGTCTTTTATGTTTTTAACGAGAGTGTCTGGGGGACGATCTGCTAAAGCTTGTCCGTAAATATGGGTTTCTAGACAGAGTATGTAGTAACAAATTGACCCTCTAGGGGGCAGTGCCACTTTTGATGGGAGATGAGCATAGACTGTAAGCAAATAAGAAAAAGGGAACGGTTCTATGAGAGAACATGTCGCCGGT